ACAACCAATTGGTGTAGTGGTGATTGGGACTACATTTGATATGGAGGACACGTGTTATAAAATATTATATTATATACATATACTTTTTTATATTATAAAAAATATTATATTATATACACATAATATTATAGTTAAAAGTATTATTATGTATAAAATAACATAAATTATTGCACATGATTGTTGTATATCTAGTATAGTACATGAGCAATGCACGATTTTTAAATCAAAATGTTAGTTTTTCTAATAAAAAATTCATAAGTAATAGCATTGTTAATACGAATATTACAATTTAAAACATGAGTAATAGTTATAATACATTTTATGTCTATCCCTTTTCCGTCAAATGTCTAATTCAATTTAACTTTTATTCTTCTTGTTTAGACTGGTTATTGGTTCAGTTAATTTTTTTTTTATTTTTTTTATGCAAGAAAAACAAAAGGTCATTGTAAAAAACATTGTATAGAAAATGAAAGGCCGATTAAAATTAAATTTATGTTCAAGATTATGTATTTTTTTCCAAGACAACATTTCGGCTCGGCATTCAATATTTGTCAAGGAGTACAACAAATGATAAAAGTAATTTTTACATTATTTTGTATCTTTATCAAAAACTTTTGTATTCATCCGATTACTTGAATTGAATTTAGGATAACTTGTAGACTATTCTGAGTAACTTTTATCAATAAAGCATAAATCACTTTCATTCATTACAGGGTAGCTTTTATAATAGGTGCACAATATTTTATTGTACATCTGATTTTTTTTTAAATGTTTGTATTGATTTCATAATTGACGTCAAACTAAATATTATCGATTTTATTTAATTTTCATAAAAAAAAAAACAATATTATCCTTTCAAAATACGAAATATTTGTTTTCTTAATTATGCCACTTTAATCATATTACTTCAAATTACTTATTATTCTTTAACTTAACTATAAATAAAGATTGGAAAGATTTTATGGATTATTTGTAGTATTGGAAAGTATATATTTATTATAAAAAATTAAATCAATATTTATGTTAGGAAATCATGAAAATCTTATGCATGTATAGAAACTTGCTTTTATTGTTTGAAATTTAACAAAAACAACTATGCTTGAAAATAAATTTATTGATAATTGGATTTTTTCATTCGGATCGGATCGGATTCGAATCGAACTCGGATTAAATTGCCATCCCTAACTCTTTATTAGCGTTATGAAGTACTACATTATGGAGTAACTATCTTTCTATTTTTCCATTTCTAACAGCTATAGAAAGAGATCAGTCAAATAGATTAGGCATCATATCAAAACTATCTAGTCAAATACTTCATCCGTGTTTTTTTGAGTATTACAATTTGACCAGCAAATATTTTTAGGCAATTTAATTGACTTAAAATAAAATAAGAGGTAAGTGAGGTAGTTGGAGTATTAAAAATTGTAAAAGAAAGATAGTAGGGTTAATAGTTTATTGAAAAGTAATGAATGTGAGAGGAGAGATATAATAATAAAAAAAAGTAGTACTAGTAGTAGCTCAAAAGAACAAGACCTTTGACAAATTATGTACTCCCTCCGTCCCTTACTTAGATGTCTATTACTTTTTATTATGTGAGTAATAAATGTCAGAAATAGGCATCTAAATCATAATTTATCCATAATAATGTAATATTTCACTTATCAACCCAATTGAAAAAAATGTGTATTAATAGTGTTGTGCCTAATTTTCACTACAGGTTCAGATGTTCGCAGGTTGCTAGATTGCAGGTTACTTATTACTACGTGATCAGCTACCTGATTCTAGGTATTAAATGAAGTTAAACAAAGATATTTCCAAGGAATATTCTTTGAGAATCCAAGTTTGAACAAGTCAAGGTTGTTGTAAGTTTTCCTACGATTAAGGAAGGGATATTTCCCACCAGGAATAAGTTAGTTGGAAATGTTAATTGTATCTGCACCACAATTCAGTCCACATTCGTTGAAAATCGACCAAATCAAATAGATAGCCAAACTACTTCTCCTATTTTCACATAGGACTCTCACTACTCTCCAACTAACTGTAATCCCCCGTATTTTTAAATATTTTATAAATGAAATTTTATTTTATTTATAATATTTATTTGTACTTTTTCAGAATTTAAGTACAAAAGTTTCAAATTATTAATATTGGTCGAAAATTATTTTAGCACAAACTATTTTATGAACCTATGTTCTACAATTCATGATCATACAAACAAAGCCTAGTGCATTTCATTTACCTAATTGGCCCATTAATTTTATGAGGCCCAATCCTCTTACTTACCCTACAACATTCTCTCCTATAAATACTCCATTAATCCCCAAAAATTTCCTCACAAAAAGGAGAAGAGTTTATTGAAGGTGATTTCTAGATAGTAAAGTGGCATACCAATTCGTTTATTATTCAAGATACGTACAAGATATGAAACCTTGCTTGTAGGTGCATGTTTAAGGACGGATCGAGAATTTAGTATCATGTATAGGATTGACTGGGTTAAATTGTCTGGGTATACATTGTGAATTTCAAATGATGTGCACTAGTTTATAATGCAAGTATTATTTGTGCTTTAATTATGCAAGGTGCGCTTAAAGGCAAAGGTATGTGATTGGTGTAAAGATCAAATTATTACTCGCTCATGATTATGTAAACAGGATGAGTAAAGGAGAAATTCAAGTCTTGTAAGACGAGGTTAAGGTTTTGGGGTGCCTTATGCACTCAAGGTGTTTATACACCGAGGTAGTAATGGAATAATTAATAAATGTTGTTTGTCACTAATAAATTAAGAATCTAAATTGAGAATTTGCCATGTTTGATTGAATTGCTTTTGGGATGTTGTATTGATATGTATATGAGTCATCACTAAGTCTAAACCTGTAAATCACGTAAAGTGCAAGATGGATGAGCAATAAAACTCTGGAATGATGCACATCTGGAGTAATGGCAATCAGGGGTTGGGGTACATGGGGTATTAGCCGTGTACTTTTCTCGAGGCCGTCTGATCTACGAGTCTCTTATTTCAAATATATTTTTTTAAAACTAGGAGTTAGATGAGATCTCATACTAACTACGGTCACGGAGTCGCGCCCGTGGTCATTGGATGTTTATTGATGTTTCCGAAAGGAGGCATGGGGTTTTTCTTTATTGACGTTCCAAATGGGACATGGGTTGGACAACCTTGTCTATTGCTAAATCCAATGAAATAAATAAATGAGTCAGTTAATATTAATTAGTGAGGTCTTAATAAATTTGATAATCGAGTCGTGAATTGAGTCTGCATTTAATGATGCTTGTGCTTGAATATTAGTAGCATGTTAGGTATTTTCTTAATTTGTTTTCGCAGCTTGTATGTACTCAGCTTTGCTGACTGCGTGCTTTTGTGTGTGTCTTTCTTTGGTCATGGCCTTCGCCTTTCAATGACCCTGTGACGATCCAATTTTTACACTTGTAATATTGGGGAGCATATTAACCACATGTTCTTACATATGCAGCATTCGCATCATGATTGTGGGATTTTGAGTGGAGAGTTGGTTATTATTCGCAGTTTATTTCTTTTTATAAGTTTGAATTTATTTAAACTCTGGTTTTATTTATTTACTACTTTTGTGGGGTTTTGAATAAGGGCCTTAATGGTTCCAAGTTGTATGATTTAATTTGATTTTGGTTATTGGTTTTGAAACTTATTTATAACTGAGTTAGTTTTTCCGCTGCTATTTTATGATAAAGCCTTAACGTTTGAACACGTGGCGGTAACATGCCAGTAATTTTCTTGGATTTTCTTCAGGGTATTTACAGGTTTTAAGAGAGAATTATTGGGGTGTTACACTAACTATTGGCAAAGATCAAGTCAAAGGATAATGAATAAGAGCATGAAGAATATGACATGAATCTCGGAGCTGAACCTATCAGCTAACTCCCACTATCAAGGAATTATCAAAGAAGCTGTTACAAGACCTCTTAAGGCTTTTCTATTATAAATAGGATGAAAAACCACTGTAAAAACACAAGATAAGAGCCCTAGACATTATATTCTATAGCAGTTAGTAATTAGCAGCTAATTTTTTTTTTTTTGAAACCAAGCACCTAATTACAAAAAACAACCTGCATTGTTCTTGTACTTAATTCTCAAACTAGTAGATTGGTGGACCCATCGCCACCCGCAATTTTTACCCTTATTCGTGGGGTTTTTTGCATTAATCTTGTTGTTGTCCTGTAAAACCTGGTTGAATCTAGCGAGCAGATTTTGGTCTAAACTAATAGAATAAGTAATAACTCGAATTTTAGTACTACCTCCGGATCATATTATATGCAACTTTGGAATTTTTTATGTCTCATAAATAATACCCTAAACTTGCATATAATACGATCCGTATACCTGAATCTCGACTTTGATTTTCTATATAAAATGTCTAATTTATATACCTATCATTTTAAACGTATCAAATTAAAATAATTTTGGGCCGACCGCGTATCAAAACAAAAAATGAAATAATGAAAGATGAATAATTTTGATACAACTAGTAGTAGGAAATTATGGAGAAAGTAGAAAAAATCATCAAAAGTAGACAAAAAATGTTGTCATTGCCATACAATATACCTAATCAACCAACAAAACATGTGATGTAACTAATTAAAGCTTTGTTAATTAAAGCAATTAGTTGGATTACATTACACCGTCCTTTAAAAATACACAAATACCCCACCGTTAGATCTCCTCCACGTCACAAAATTCCTATCTCATCAACCAATCACAACCGTCCATTCATTAAAAAAAAGCACATCAATTATCGACGAAAAGTCATTCTCATACACATAGGGAAGTGGGCCCCACAAAGGTCAAAAAATCATCAAAGTCTATCCATTTACACGCCACCCAAACACGGCTTTTCAAGTCCCCGGTAATTGGCCCACAGTTTACCTGCTATTGTCGGTCAAAAAATGATTGGGCCGGTCACCGGTTTTGAAATATCCGGTTCATTTTACCGGTTTTGTTATTGTCTATATATATAAAGTTGTGTCTTTTTATTCTCCTCACTTTCTCTCTCCTCAACATCTTTTCTTCTTTGTCTGAATAGTTCAAGATATTTTACTCCTTTCGAATATTAAAGGTATAATTTTTATCATCAATTTTTATTTTTATAGAATTTTTGAGTTTGTTTATATTTGATCTGAATTTTACTTCAATATAATTATCGTTGAATTTATACTGAACAATTTAAATTAGTTTATAAAATTTGGACTAGTTTGTGCTTTAATTTAGATCTAGTTTGACAGAATTTGGACTTTCAATTTAAGAAATGACTTTAAATTGAAAGTCCTAATTCTAAACTTTAGAGTTCATTAATCGAAAGATCGAGTTCAAATTGGAGCAGAAGTATACGATTTGACGCTAGTTGAACTCCATCTTTCGATTTGTGATTTTTTTTTTTTTTTTTTTGGGTGTTATTACGATTAGTGAGCTTGATTTTGTGTATAATTGTTGTATGAGGTGTTAAATTTGCTGATAGTTTATTGATGATCGGAGTATATATTAACGATCCTTGGAAAATTCTCAAAGTGCATATAATAAGAAAATAAAGTTATTAAATTGTTTTCGAAAAATATATATATTTTTATATCTTAATCACACTTAAAAGTATATGATTTAGTGAAGTTCCTCGTTTTGATCATATATGTAAACTGATTTAATTGTTTGATCATGGATTATATGTTGATTGACTAAAGATGGGGCTTCGATGGCCTCGAGCGCAGTTGTACCTCTGGCAGTATTTTTGGTGATTCATGTATATTTGAGGATGTTAAGATTGATTAGCTGTAGGTGTGGAGAAGACTTTGCTAAATTCGTGCCCGATCGATTTTGCTATTTTGCCCAACCAATTTTGCTCAACCAATTTTGCTATCGAGCTAGAGGCCTAGATATAGGGTTTTGTAAGAAATTTGGTGTAAATGTTTGAGGTGGGAGTTTAGTAAACTGATGAAAAAGTTGTGTGGATATATCATATCTGGGTAAAAGAGGTACATCTGTATTACTTATGGTTTGGCTGATTGGCTAGAAGTATAGAATTTTGATTATGTAAGCAACTGAGTTGTATGTTTGAAGCAGAGTTTTGAGAGTTTTGTGGGCTGTGAGGAATTGGGTTGTTTGGTTTATGAGGGAACGTTCGTGTTTGAAGCTTTGGGAGTTTGATTTGTGGAGTTGTGGTTATGCACTTTGGACCATTATGATATGAAGAGTTGAAGATCTTGCCCAATTTTTGTAAGGTTTTGAAGCTGCTAGAATGACTCTTCAATGATGGGTTACTTGTGAGAATTGAAGTAATTCATTCTTGTAATTTTTGTGTAAGGGTGAGTGTATTTTGAGATGGTCCGTCGTTATAGTGGCACTACATAAGTTTCTCTTTGATAGGCCTCATTTGACTTTTTGTGGTCAAAGATTTTAAACTATGACCAGTATTTTTGATATAATGGACTACATATTATTTTGTGAAAGTAAAAAACTTAGTGCTCTCTCTCTCTCTCTCTATATATATATAATAGTTACCACTGAACATCATTTAAATTATCGATCAGAGTGACATCTTTGATCATAAAAAGTCAAATGTGGCATATTTAAGAGGCACAAAGAGAATAATATAGCTTTTAATTGTATTTTGATCTTGTCATTTGACCAAAGTGAACCTAGGATCTTGTTGTGTGGATATTGTGATGGCCATGCCTTTCTTAGGAACCTTGATTCTCTGCAAGGCTGTATGTGTGACCTAGAAAGTTTATTTGATCATGATATTTTCATGCTCATTTTGTATTGGATGTCTCATATGAATTATCATGATAAAGCATTCAATAATATCCACTGTCAAGAGTGTATTTTTCTTCTTAAATTCCATTCTCGTGTTTTGGTACTGAAAATTTGAGAAGAAAAACACTTATTTGATGGATGAGATGATTTGATTGCTATCATAATTGTTCAAATTGAACATCCCAAACAAGGATAGTTAATGAACACAAATGTTGTTGCTTTCATCTAATACAATAGCACCTATGAAATGATTAGGTGAAATTCTAGATGATTAGATAATGGTTAACAATTATATTTCCCCCGTTTCTCAATAGGTGCATTGCTTTGACTTTTTACATTGTTTATAAACTTAATTTGATTTTTCATATCTTTGTTTGATTACAGGAGTCAAAGTTAATATATAAATAGTGTAAAAAGTCAAAGTGATGCATCTATTAAGAAACGGAGGTAGTATATATTTTGATTGTTTAGGAACTATCATTGAACTTTATTTCTATACATATCTAAGTGAGTATGTGACTAGACCTTTTAGTTAAATCTAGTCCCTTTGACATAAATTGGTTTGTATGACATTTGTGCACTTGAATTTTTATCTTTCCAAAGTTCTTAACTAATAGCTCCCAATTGTTTATCTGCTGATCGTTTTCTTTATGCTATTTATTCTTCTTAAGTAGGTAACTTTGAAGAGTAATTCTACAGATAAAAAGATGGCTCTAGTCTCAGGTGTAAGATCAACGCTGAATCCCAATGCCCCATTGTACATTCCTGCTGCTTTTCGACAGGTTGAGGACTTTTCACCTGAATGGTATGACTTGATCACTACCTCAATGTGGTTCCGGGATTATTGGCTAAGTCAGCATCAAGAAGCTGAAATGTTGTATGGCAACAACGTGAACAATTTTGAAGAGAACGATGTTGTTGACTTGCTTCCTGATGAAATCGATATTGGTGTTGATGAAGAGTTGTTGCTCATGGAGTCTCAGTTTGAGGAGTTCATCAAATCTACCGGGACTCAGGAAAGCAAGCTTTTACCCAGAGAAGGTGAATATTGTGTGATCTATTAGTAGCATTTTTTTTTTTTTCCTTTTTTTAACCTGGGTTTCTTTAGCTGATTTTTATGGAAAATGATATATACAGTCCCAAAGTTTTTTGAAATACTATTTATTATGCTAAGCTAAGCTGAATTAGACATTCATTAGTATCTTTACACCAATAGGTGCATGATTTTGATTTGCACTTTAATTGATATCAAGTTAGGAATTTGAATGACATTACCCCATCAGTAAAAAAAGATAAGTGTAAATTGGTGAAGTTTAGCACATGTAACCTCTATTTAAGTCTGAAATGTATGTAGACTTGGAATTTACTGGTAAACTAGCTGCATCACCGTTACATAATAAAATGGCATCTTAATTTGTTGCTCACATGGTTATTTCCTCTGTCTGCAGCCTTGGTTGATGTGAAGTCAGGATTCAAGTTCTCGGAAAAGCCCGTTCAGAAGTAGAGGGTCATAGGTGGGAGCAGTTTTGCTCCTTGCTAACAATATGATTCTCTTTTAATAGCTGTAATTTCTGTACAGAGCCAGGTTGAAGCTCTTGTATGAGTTCCTTGTTCATGCCTTTTCTTTTCTTCAGAAAATCAAGAAACTTTTCGAGCAAGTGTAGAATGTAGAAAGAGAGTAAAATTGTATGATATTTAAGAAAAATGACGCGAGATTACTTTCAAATCTTCATATTGGCCTCTTATTCTATGTCTGACGCAATTACCATCTTGTAGAAGTTTGGTGTGTTCAAAATTCCTTGTAGATGGCTACAGCCTTGCAGGCATACACCTTGCCAGAAATTTGGGATGTTGTAATCTCTCCATCTTGGTGAGGGGTTTGGTCTGCAACAGTCTGATATTAGCAGGTGGTGGCTTGTGTCCTGTAGTACTGGACTATTGGGACCAGGGGTTTCGGTGTCGGCCCATTGTGAGCCATACTTTGGGATTGCTGAATTCCCTGAAAATGTGATTGGAATTATTTGGTATGTTGCAATATCTCCATCCTGGTGATAGGTGGGCTGATACCGTCTGATTTGGGCAGGTTGCAGGTGTTGGCTTGTAGCCTGTTATACTTTGGGATTCCTGAATATGTGACTGGAATCATTGGATATTGCCATATTGGTTCCTCAAGCTCCTTTTTTCATGCTTCTCCTTTGTTGGCCTATATTTATTGCCGAAAACTCTGAATATCGCGGAATGTTTCAGATGAGAGGTAATGCTTATTTGCTAATGGACATAAATCAATACAATTTTAAATTTTTACATACTTTTCCCATCCCTTGAGTAGATTTCTACTTCTCTCTATTATGTGAGAAATAAATGTTAGAAGTAGGAATCTAATTAAAGGTTAGAGGGAGTATTATATTAAAGATCTGACTATTTTTAAATAGAAATAAAAGTAGAGTAAATCCAATCTAACTCTATCCCTATATACTATGATAGGGATTAATTCAGACACAATGAAGATTAGTTAGAGCGGGTTATCTAAATTTAGTTGCAATTCTCGTCTAATCAGGATAAGCTGCCAAAAATGGGTTAAGTAGGTTTTACTTGCGCCAATTTGTATACCCGATTGTAACTACCTCTAGAGCTCTAGGAGTCTAGCTATGCTTGACACATTCGATTAAATATTGCTAATTTAGAAAATGGAAATGTGCAAAGACAATCACAATATCGACAAAGTAGAACTTTTAACCAAACTCGGCCTCTTGCATTATTTTTCAAAATATATGGATACATAGGATCTGAGAATATGAACTTCCGATGTTTTGGCGCAAAAGAACAATCGTCAATGAGGAGCATGTTCAGATTTGAGCATAGTACAAACGCCTGAAAAAGGCTATAGTGCCTATTTTTAGGTGCAGAGGGGATCACAACATTGATGTCGACAATAGGCAATACCCTGTTTGATCCTCAGTTCTCAGAATCTTTCGGATCTGATACAAGTTAAAAAGGGATGTATTGTATTAAGCAATCGGAGGGAAATTATAATCCAAAATACACTCGTATGCCAGACATGCTGGTAAGCTACCGAATCAACAGAACTATAATCCTAAGATTGATCATCTCAACAGCATTTACAGGACTGCTTGCTATGACTATTGCCGCGTATTATAGCACTATGCTGAATCTAAACTTCAAATACAATAGAAAATACACTGATATATGCAGCTCCAACCGACAAAATCTTGAAGCTCAGCTGAGAGCAACCAACAGGTTATCTTATAAATGCTTTAACCAAATTCAGAATCCTGTACAGTGCCTTCAAGAAGAGAGATACAGCCATATGCTTCAAGCAGTCACATATTCACTCTCATCTTCAAGTCGCTGTTTTTTCTGAGCTTCTAGTTTACTCTGGTTACCAAGAGCGTCAGATATAGCCTGGGGCAACCAAAACCCGGGTCGCTCAAGATGCGAAGCACGGTCAAGAGCTAAAGGCTCCCGTAAGACAACTTCAACAGTATCATATGTCCATAGCTTTAAGGTTGCCTCACCTTTGAGACCCAAAGCAAGCCAACCTAACCCAGCTACAGCAAGGTCAGAACTATTTACATCCCAGCTAGTTCCAGTCACTTTAAATGCTCTCTCTGTCCAGGTCCCCATTTCGGGAAGTCTATCTGCTCCTACAGGAGGCTGAGAAAAGATCAAACCAAAAATAATGAAAATGGGGTATTAGTTGTCATCCATCAAAATGAAATGGTAAAATTATGTATGTTCATGAATAATGTTCTACATAGAAGAATTGGCAAAGTATGCAAGTATGTTCATGATAGCAATTGCTAATGTAAATTCACAATTTCATGCTCCACAGAGCCATAGCGATATACAACATGAATTTTACCCAAAACTTAGAATGTCCCTAAGTGATATTTAAAGACATTGCCTAAACACATTCTATCACAATTGCAGAGAAAAATATAGAAACTGCGGAACAGCTGAACCTATAGTTTTTGGTTATTTTTTGTTTTGTTTTTTGTTTTTTTTCCGCCTCCCTTTAATCGTCAATTGACATCCTTATCCTAAGCAGATTCTATCACGATACAGGGAATCAGCTTTTGAAAAACAGACAAGGTTCTTCATCGACATTAAAGCTTTAATAGCGACCCCTAGCTCTTCTATAAAAAAAACATGTAATAACATACTAGTGTAAGGCAAGGAAAAAAGACTAAGGTCTTTCACTCTTTAATTTATCCTGATTTTCATGTTTGCCAACAAGTTTGACCATTGACATCTTTAATTATTTATGATTAAAAATTTAAAACATAGATATTTTAAGATAAATACAATGAGAGTAATCCAACATTATACATAGTAAGATTTGATTCTGTAAGAGTATATTAGTAAGAAAAAATGGTCAAATTCAGTGCAAAATTCAAACTGTTGAAATCATTACAAAACAGAGTAGGATAAGCCTCTGGGATCATCAACGATCCTTGCATTAATTGCATACATCACATAGGTGAAGACTACAGGATAATAGTGGGAGAGAGTGATCAAAGGCAAGGTTAATTCTATACAAGCTATAGAAAATAAAATTAAGTCCGCCTTTCACATAAGATGCTGACATATATTCAGATGAGATCGGCTTCATGCCTTCACAAGAGTTAGCAGCCAAGTTGAAGGCTTGAAGCCACTAGTTTGTTTCAAAACAATATTGACGTTGTTGGGGCAATGTATTTGAAATGTTTTATCACGTCAACTGTTCAACTCTCAATTTCATTCTCTTGCAAAATATGCTTTTCACAAGTTTGTATTGTGTGTGCAGATATTGTAAGGGTATGTTGATTTTGTGTATACTGAAGGATTTAATTGCAAGGACTGTAGGCCCTTTTAGTTTCTATAAAGCCCTCCTTAACTTCTAAATTGAGTCTCCTTTAAAAGAAGCCACATTAAATTGTCCCAAGTTCTTAAATCATACTAGTAATAGAAATTTGCTAGCAATGCAAAATTATTCACGATACGTCGATACGTTGTAATCGATAGTCAATACACTAGCTATTTAAAAGAAATATCAGTTAATAGAAAGGTAGAACTCAATGATAATTAGATAGGTCTTGTAAACTGATTGACCTTTTTTAAGAAAATAACAATCACACTTAATTCAAGTTTTATTTTAATCTTCCTTTGCTGCAGTGAAATGACTTAACAATAACATGAATGTGAAAGTAGCAACCTACTATCCACAAAAGGCAATCCTAGAGAAATACGACCACACCCCAATGGCCCAATCCCTCAAAGATACACCCAAATTATCTATCAAGAACAAAGTTCACATTTTCTTAACCACTCTATAGGAGTAGTATAGAGCTCATCATAGGTTTTACAGCATAAACTAATATTGACAATCTACTGTCTATAAGCAATGATTGATTTTGGCAACCAAATCTCACATTCTTATTGTATTTGGGGAAGGTTTAGATATCCAAATTTCCAATGGCTCAAGTAACAGTTAATAACCAAATTTCAGATCAATTGTGCTTAGGATGTTAATCATCAAGATTATCTAGAAAAGTAAATATGACCAAGACATAAGAAACATGATGTTCAACAAGGCTGACATGCTTACCTGTAACCTGATACCAACATGCTTACTCCAAGTTTCATCAGCATTTTCAGTCTTCCCTAAATGAAGAGACACATTTGGTGATGCCCACACTGTCACGTAAATCGTCTGGACTGATGCCTCGACAAGGTCTAGTCTCACTAAGCCACCAATATGTACTGTTTGTCCTGCCTGCAAAGTGTCTCGCAAGCTCATCAATTATAACACAGATCTATAAGCATGATGCAACTTATTACTGTTAAGCAAAATAATTAAGTTTGGAATACGTAAAATGTCACTTGAAGTAGCAAAACATGAACATTATACCAATGGCAAAATAAGGAATCCAGGTTTACATCAAGTAATCAACCATATATCATTGAAATTACATAATTCTTGTACTAGTATATTAAAACAGCATACAGTTCAAAAAACCTTTGGGTAACATTAAGTAGAACACTAACTTGCAGAGCACCTAAGTACAGCCCTAACACCCCCCCCCCCCACACACACACAACCCTTGGCAAGCTTTGAACTCAGGACCTAGAATTCAGGGAGAAGCTATAGCCACACACATAAAAAACCCTCAATCGAGCAGTCAAATTAACATCTACATTCAAGGAAGAACCATTGTAAGTATAACCAACAACAGCTTGCCTGCATTGAATAACAATCAGAATTTACATAAAACACAATATTAATAGATTAATAGGTCATGATGCAGAATGCCAGATAATATAATTTAGTGTATAATAGACACATTCAGTTATATAGCAACGAATTCCATAACCTTCTTTACGTTGTACACAGCCAAATTAAAAACAACATTAGTCCTAAAACTGTAAGTTCAGAAACATTTAGGTGAACAGAACTTACCTTAATTCTATAACTTCGAGGTCTCAGTTCTTTCCGTATCTCAATCATTTTTTGTTCTTCCCTGTTTAATCTCATGGACATCAAGTACGCATGCAAGAGACCAGGAGTGTCGTACATCTTGGCCTTGCCAGACAAAACCCCTCCAACTCTTAGTATCCCAAGCGTCGTCCCAGGAACTGCTGCTTCAGTAAGCTTTGTAACTTTAACACCTTCTTTCTTTGCAAATGTGTTGATTAGGGTAGATTTACCGGCATTTTGTGCCCCAATAACCCAAACATGCCCTCGAGGGC